GGGGCGCACGGCGGCCGCGCCCTCCGCACCCGCACTCCGGGCGCCCGGGCGACCTCGGCCTGATCCTGTCGGGGCTGGAGGGCGACCTGTGGCCGATGCTGCGGGCGGCGCGGGCACGGGGGAGTTGGCCGTACTTGGGAGGGAGGAGAGTGCGCTGCACCCAGGGGAGCTGCCTGTGAGCCGTGGAGACAGCCCCCTTCCCCCTAGAAAAGGACCCGGGGTCCAGATGGAGGCGAGGCTGGCACCTCAGCTCAGAGGAGGGTTTTTCATCCCTGGCTGCATTAGTCCCCCTTTTTAAACCCTTTATGTTTCTCTATTTCTTATGGTGGGAAACCATTGGAAAGTGATTCCATCCATATGGGGATTAAAGACCCCCCCCACAGACACGAAGCAGAGTGAGGGGTGATGGAAAACTTGTAGTGATACAGGGATCTTTCCTTGCACTTAGACATGACGTCTTCCCATTTGATGTAAGCCTTCTAAGATCTGGCTAGGGATTGAAGGAGCTTGCTTGCTCTTTTTAGTTTTGCTGAGCAGAGGAGGTGGGGAGGGGGAGGACACGGCTCCCACTTTCCATCAATAAAACATCGAAATCGCCTAACCTTCCCGTTGAAACAAACAGGGGAGAAAGGACCGCGTCTTAAACTAGAGCCTTGGAGAAGCTCAAATCCTGGCATCGTTTCTAGTTTTTAGACTACATCTGGGGGGCTGGCTTCCTTGCATTTACTGTTTTTCTTTTCAAAAAATAGGAAGATGTTTATAGACCGAAGCATGTTCAACTAGCGGCAAAGATAAAACAGTATGGGAAGCAAACGCACTCTTGATCTGGCTTTTTTTTTTTTTAGCACATGTAGAGAAAACCACATCTTGGCCAACTGTAGAATTGATGTTACTTTACCTAAATGTTTAACATATAACAGTTGCCAACAAAATGAAATGAATGCTGGCGCGGTTTTTTGTCTTTTGTTTTTCTTCCAAAACCCGTGGCAAAACTGTATTACGTAAAGCACAATCAATGAGTAGCCTCTGTGACTGAAATATTGCCCTCAAATTGGAAAGAGTCTACATGCACAAGACCTCTTTAAGGTGTGAAGAGCGAAGATGTCATTTTGACAACTCAGATGCCCTTGACCCATGTACGTTCAGTCACCTCGTACGCATGTAAGAGTTGAACCAAAACTTTAAAAGACCAAAGAAGAATGGATGCATTTGACTTTGGTGTTGGCCAAGAATATTAAAAGTACCATGAACTACCAGAAGAACAAATAAATCCATCCTGGAAGCAGTTCAGCCAGAAAACTCCTTGGAGGCAAGAATGGTGAAGTTTCATCTCAGGCACGTTGGTCGTGCTATCCGGAGGGACCAGACCCTGGAAAGGGACATTGTTACAATGTACTGGCAGCAGCTCTCAGCCGCACCCTCAGCTCATAAGAACATGCTTTCCCAACCTGCTGCTTAAGTAACTGTTAATGGAGCTGAGCAGTGTAATGGGTGCCTTAAGTGGGCAAACACTGAGGCCCTGTGGTCCCTGTCTTTAGCAGCCACTAGAGTAGCAGGAAGGGCAAAGTGCTACTGCCGTTGGCTATGAGCTAGATGATAGGGCAACACTTGACATTGTTATATAGAAAATTACAGGCTCGCCAGTACATCGTATATTCTCCAGAAGACAGAGGAATGCGTGTTTATTCATAGAACTCTGGGCGGGAGGTGTGCGAAGGAGGATAATAGGTGTTTATGGAGTACCCAGAACAGCAACCAATCTATTCAAGGTATTCTCCATTTCAGACAGCCCCCGGCACCCAGCATAGCACACTGCCCACAAACCTAAGTAAATTCACATAGAATGCCAGTGGTTTCAATGTTTAAACTTGGAGAAAGAAATCAAGGAAGAGGACCCTAACCCTGAGTGGTCTCCAGACTGTGTATTTAGCGTAACAAAACGTGCTCTGGTGATATTGCTGCAGTTCAAATACTCTCGGAGAGAGAAAAACGCCAAGGGTGGTGACTATCAGTCACTGCTGGCAGGAAGAAGCTATGTTTCACGGAAGCTCCGAAGCCAGGGTGTGTGCTCGGCTGAATGCATTGCTGCGCTCTAATGATCTAGGGTTCTTACTGGATGCTTCCAAATGGAAATTGTTTACATCTCTGTAAGTGGCAGGAGTCATGTATCGTAAGGAAGCCAGCTGCTAACTAAATAGGCCACTATTGACTACTAGAGAGAGGGACGGAGTGTGATGACTCTGTTGACCGGCAGGGGCCCAAATCCCTTGCAGAACTTCTGTAGCTCTTGAAGGGTAGTTTTCAGTGGCCGAGTACCTGATCTGAATAATGTGTAATTATAATGATGTGAACACAGCAGCTACAGCCCTACGGATTCTTGTCGATCAGATGCATTCTGTTTCTGCAAAGAACGTTCACCATGCTCAGTTCAGTGGCATTAAACAATGTCTAACAGGAAATGACTGCTGTCCACAGGTACATGCCCCCCAAACTTGCGCAGAGCTTGACTGATGAAGACACTAGGATCATTTCTTCTACAAATCCTTCAGCAGTCATTTCAGGAAGAATGCAACCCCCGGGGGACCATTCCCTTCCTAAGAGAAGCTGGCCCAGATCATTTGTCTCCTTTATGGCTCAGGTGGGAGAAGAGCAATGGGTCGTTTGTCATTTTTTATTGGTCGCAAAACCTGGTTAAACCAAAAGGAGCAAGTAAAATGGTCCTTCCTGAAGAATTCTGTTATTGCTTGGGTACCTGAAGCTAAACAACGGAGGCATTCTTGAAGAAGCATAAAAAAATTCAACTTGCGGTACATTGAGTTGTAGTCTCAGCTCCCTAGAAGACCTCCCTCTGCTTGTAGGAATCTGTGACCTATCGGTGGACTTGGCTCTATCCAGGAAACATGGACTAATCATTGACACTCTGCACCCATGGAAATTATTTGGTGGAAATATACTGTCAAGATCATTGAGAACAAGAACATAATTTCATCTAAAAGCATCAGTTGGTACGTTTTGACTTCGATATAAATGAACACTAAATAAGGGAACACACATTTAGGGATAACCCATCCAATGGCATTTAGAAATATTTACATAATGTTGAGTCCTTAGGTGGTGCCAACAATGACTGTGCTCAGCTGCGAAACTAAGGTTGGAGGTTCAAGTCCAGCCAGAGGAACCTCAGGAGAAAACCCTGGTGATCGACTTCTGGAAAAGTTGTCATTGAAAATCCTGTGCAGCACAGTGTTACGCTGACGCACAAGTGGTCACCCTTAAGTCAGCATCAACCAACAGGCAACTGGTACTGACAGAGTGCCGCTGGTACTGATAGAGTTGACAGCACGAGTTGACCCTTGTTCTTCGATGACAATTTCACCGTTGATTATGAATCATTCTGTTAAATGTACCTTTGAGCAGAAGTAATAACGTTCAGCTTGGAAGTCTAGTTCACAAAAAGCCCTGCAGCTTGCTCTTTGCTCCCTCTCTCATGGGTAGCTGCCCTGCCATGAGGTCACAGAAGCAGCCTGGGGGAATTGTATGGAGCAAAAAAAATCAGCTTTCCTGCCAACAGCCAGCCTAGGAGCTGAAGCTCCCTGATGATCGCCAAGTGGATGTGCCTTTTAGGAACCTGATCCATAGCCACATTTCAGCTTTCAGATGATTGCATTCCATACCGGAAAATGCTAAGCCTGAAGTGCCCCGGAAAATTATTCTGGAATTCCTGACCCACGATAAGTATGAAGTACTAAATGCTGATTGTTTAAGATTTTTTTTAATGCACCTTTGAAATTTCCCAATACAAATTTAGACCAATTATTATTTAAATCGTGAATTTAAGCAAACTTAAGAATTTTAACCATCACTTGTCTGTCCGTTCATCTGTGCTGTGGTAGCTTGTGTGCTCCTATGATTCTGGAAGCGATGCGACAATTATTTTAAGTCAATGGGATCGGCTCACGGTGGCCATGTTTCAGCATGCTCGGTATCTCACTGTGGCTACTGTGCCAATCCATCCCACGGATGGACTCTTGTGTCCTCACTGGACCTCTGCCTTACCAACCAGCGCGCTCTCTCCAATGACTGATGTCTCCTGATACCCTGTCCAAAGCAAGCACGTGGTCTACGGCTTTACCGTGACCCATCAGGCTTTCATCGGCTCCTTTTGGAAGTAAATCCCTGGGCCTTTCTTCCTACCCTTTCTTAGTCCGAAAGCTCTGCGGAAGCATGTCCATCGTGACTTGATCCTGTCGGTTTGTCCTACTCGTAAGGCTACTGATGCATCAAATGAAATAATCTCTGTAAGATGATAATCAAGCATTTACCTGACATGTAGTCGATACTTGATATTAGCTAATAGTAATTAGTACGCCATACGTCCTCTTGTGATAGCAACTGGCACTGTTGTTATTTTATCAGACTGACCTGCTATGCATATCTGGGAGTCCTATTTTTAAAGGAGTAATGGTTTTTAATTTCTATAAGAATATTTTCTTAAATCATATTTTTAGAACACAAAAAGAGATTATCTGTGATTCATAGCTAAGCTGCTTGCTCTACTCGTGAGCACGTGACTTAACCTTGTTGAGCCTCCACTTCCTTTTGTGCATGTTTGCGTTTACAAGTGCGATGTGTCCAATATTTGCACTCAATTCTCCCTTTCCTATCCTTTTCGATGCCCAATGCAAAC